ATTCCTGTTAATGCCCCTGTTGTGTTGGACTACTGGATTGTGGGGAAATGTCTTAGTTTCCTTGGGAGACTTCTTTAAAACAAGGAGAAGGAGGCGAAAGCACCAAGATCAATAGGTGACTCCATTGACAGGTATAATCTCAAGCACCCACTTGAGAATCTGTTTAAGAAGCTGACTAGATTTTGAGCTGTCTGCTTCCCTTTAAAAAACATCTTCAGACCTGCCAATGTGGAAAGTGATTTTTATTTCTCCCCTCCTTCCTTAACACTGTTCGAGCAGCCTCACTTTGACGCAGCATTAAGTTTCTGAAAGAATTGCTGAAAAGCCTATTGGGGGAAAACTTAATCGGCATCCTTCACTGCCAACCACCTGTCAGTCAAGCATCTCACATCAGACTCTGTGTCTCTGCAGAGTCCCTTACTTTTGAAATTCTGATGCAGCAGCAACCTTGCCTGACAAACTAAGGAGCTCAGCCAATGTCTTGAAAGGACTGAAGTTCACTTTAAAGTCCTGACTGATGTTCATGTGTAAAATTGAGAAATAGGCCTCTGTCCTTCTGTTCTTTGCTTTTAATGAAGACAACTTGACAGTGTAACCATGCAATTTAATTTTCATGCTTGAAGGGACCATTAGATTTCAATCACATCCATTTTCCTCCCTCTCTCCTCCAGTCTTTCAGCTCTTCATGAACACAGAGGATTTTCCGGGTGCAGTCCCTCCTACTTTCCTTCCTAGCCACTGATAAATTAGATCTCCTACTTGCTCAGAGTGTAGTTTTTCCTCTTGCTTTCTTAGCACTTTTTACTCTGGCAGAGATAAAACACCTCCCTCACCTCTGATCTCCTTTAAGTCTCTTTCCTCCTGCAAGGAGTTGTACCATCATCCATAAACAAAGACAGCTGCAATACGTTATTGTACTTTTCTCCAGTCTCACTCACTTTTCTCTCTCTTTTTCTTTTCTTCAAAAGACCTGTGACCTGCCTAGAGCCAACTTGTGGGGGGGGGGGGAATTGAAGTGTTTGAGGAGAGAGGTAGTTCCCAGTTTCTGCTGGAAGCAGAAGCTACCACTAAAATAGTTGTGCTTTAAAAACACTCTTCTGCTGTGGAACTTCCTCAAGAGGTTGCAGAGGCAGCACTTTTCAGGTTTGACTTGCTTTTGGAGGAGACCAAACTTGAGACTTGTGGTGTTTCTAAAAATATTTAATTTTACAACTATAAAAGTAAAGCCGTGTGTGTGTGTGTGTGTGTGTGTGTGTGTGTGTGGAATTGATCAGCTCCTGACAGGTGGGTCACCTCAGATCCCCAGAGAGAAATACCTGCACCTAAGGATGTTCAAATCTGTCAATTTCACTTTCTCATTATTTTAATCTTAAATTCAGTTGGCCATGTTTCTGCAGCAATTTGCAATTATTGTTTTTTTAATCCCCATGAAAATTTGTCAGAATTTCTCCTAATACAGTGGTGCCCCGCAAGAGGAATGCCTCGCAAGACAAAAAACTCGCTAGACGAAAGGGTTTTGCGTTTTTTGAGTCGTTCCACAAGACGAATTTCCCTATGGGCTTGCTTCGCAAGACGAAACGTCTTGCGAGTTCTTGCGAGTTTGTTTCCTTTTTCTTAAAGCCGCTAAGCCGTTAATAGCCGCTAAGCCGCTAATAGCCGCTAAGCCGCTAATAGCCGTGCTTCGCAAGACGAAAAAACCGCAAGACGAAGAGACTCGCGGAACGGATTAATTTTGTCTTGCGAGGCACTACTGTAAATACATCTTTTTGTATGCAGTTTTGACTAATGTACACATTTTTGAAAGCAATTTCCCCTAATATGATGCATTTTTGTATCTCTTTATTAATATATGCATTTTAATGCACTTTCCCCTAACATATATTCTACACATTGTTTGGGGTGGAGAATTGCATTGCAAAAATCAGAGACGTGCAAATGTCAAAGGATAGGTGTGCTTTGATTTGCACATTTCATAGAATTGTAGGGTGGAAGGGATATCAAGGGACATTTAGTCCAATTTCTCTTTTTAAGAAGTGCACATTAGGTAGTGACTTATTAAAATGCAAACTAAATTGAATTTCTCCTCCATCCCTTCATCCTCTCCAATGTGCCTTCCAATCTCCACGTCAGTGCTCTCTTTCCTGCTCACTCCATCATCCTAAAAAACTGCAATTTCTTTCACACAGAGACCTTTAAAGGCCCAACCTTAGCTGAGTTTGGGAATCACCATCCCCCAACGGCTCTCACAGTCCAGGGATGATCTCTGTACCTCTCAACCATTAGCTATTATGGTGTGAAACACGTTAATAGTCTTTCGCAGAGCTTTCCCCAAGAGAGGATATAGCTGGCACAGCTCGTCCAGCAGTCATAATGATATTTTTACTCACAGAAGCTCTTTGGAGCACTTTCTGCGTATGACACATGAGTCAAAATGAATGGAGGAGAGTGAATTCCTATCAATCATTCTAAGCCTGAGCTATTTGAAATTGGAATTCCACAGCCATCTCAAGTACTCCATCATAAGCAATTTAACCCATCCTAATTTGGGGAGACTATAGTGGGCTCCCCCCTTTCTTTAAAGTACAGTCTTTATCTCGGGAGATGTTCTAAGGTGAAAGAAAATTGTCAAGGTGATGGTGGTTTTAAGTGTTGAGTAAAGAATAAATCACTTCACAATCACTAAATCAGAAAAGCCACTTACTTGGAAATAAGTCTTTTTACTTGGTTTCACTGAACTTACTTGCAAGCAGATGCACTTAAGATCACACGCTGGCAGTAGTCGTGATCTGTGTGATTTTTACGCCTGGAAAGCCGCTCCCCCACTCTTAATTTCACATTTGGTTGATGCAATTTGAAGCAGCCATGGGTCAAAAAGGCTTACAGGAAGAAGGGGAAAGAAGGGCAGCACCCCCTTGCTACAGGGCTAAGGGAACATCAGTGTTCTGCACACCAGACCCTACATCTTCTGGAAAACACGACATTGGGCCTGCAGCCTGATATGAGACTTACCAACCATTAAGGTAAAGGTACCCCTGACCATTAGGTCCAGTCGCAGACGACTCTGGGGTTGCGGTACTCATCTCGCTTTACTGGCCGACGGAGCCAGCATACAGCTTCCGGGTCATGTGGCCAGCATGACTAAGCTGCTTCTGGCGAACCAGAGCAGCGCACGGAAATGCTGTTTACCTTTCCGCCAGAGCAGTACCTATTTATCTACTTGCACTTTGAAGTGCTTTCGTACTGCTGGGTTGGCAGGAGCAGGGACCGAGCAACCGGAGCTCACTCCGTCGTGGAGATTCAAACCACCGACCTTCTGATTGGCAAGCCCTAGGCTCTGTGGTTTAGACCACAGTGCCACCCATTAGCTGGTGATTATAACATAACAGAAAGAGAGCAGGTGAGCTTCACAGAAATGTCTCTAACGTTTTGTGCATACCTGTGCATCTTTATTTTGACCCCAGGGACTTATCCGAAACAGTCTGGGAGTATAAATGAAGTGAGCGACCCAGAAGATGACCTGACTGATTCCCAGAAAACTAGCAAACTCTCTGAGATTTATTCCACCACAATCCCCAGTGTGGACAGTGCAATGGAATCCTGGGATGGTTCTGGCATTGATGCTGGTTATGGAAGTCAGGGTGAGTCGGCCTTTAATGCGCGAATGCATAAGTTTGTCTCCTCCCTCCCAACTCCATTTTGAATTGCTGAGGGCCAGTTCATACATTTATATCTGAGGGGATAAAGGTTCACGCAAGCAAACGTTGCCATGGGATCAGCAGTTACAGCGAACCCCTTCAACGTCCATTTACAGGTGTGGTTTGGATTCAAACCTCACCAGCAAATGGACAAAGCTGGCGCTTTGTTCATCTGGTTGCACAATTAAAATTCCCCTTAGACATATAGGATGTCTACTGCAGAACTAGAAATGGGAGACAGACTTCCCATCCAGCTAACTTAACCATAAGATTGTCTTTCCTCAATGTAGCCATGTAAAAACGACCTGATCCTTCCTGTTTGTCTCTCTGCTCCCCATCGGATCCCAGTAGGTACATACTTGCCGCAAGCTGTTGGCATTGCGCTTCACCCACATGAATGGAGATCCAGCAGACAGAAGAACAGTACCCCTCCTGGTGATCCCAGGAAGAGTTACCCCTTTATGGATGGCAGTTTCAGTGAAGATGACTGGGAGAAGCCCAGCAGGTATGTGAGGCTTGTAAGAAAACAAAGGAGAAGGATGGACGTGTGGGTGGGTGGGTGTGCAGTCATATGGATCTCAAGGACGAGGCATGCCTACATGTCTTACCTGACTCCGTTCGATTTGTCTCCCGTCCTTCCTCCCAAAGGAAGCGGTCAATATCAGCTTCAACTATTCCTGAAGGAATTTGACATGAAAACATTCAGATCTATTTATTCATCCACATTCCAAAAGGGACATGTCGTACAGAAAGCCCAGGCCTCACCTGTGTTTTTAGAGAAGAAATGGAACTGCAAGTGGACTGTTGGGCTAGTCTGATGAGTGGTCATTTTATTAAGTTGGATTTCTAATTGGAATGAAATAATGCTGGCATTTAGAAGTCGGCGTTTCACCTTTTCTGAATGCCCAGGCTTAAGTTTCATTACAGTGGGGTGTCATCTTAACAATGGCGTTGAAGCGATGGAGAGAAATTAAAAAACCTTTAATGTGTGGCCCACATTTGTTCTTTTGGGTGTTGACTAAATGGCAGTCCATAGCTGCTAGGTATGTGAAAGGCCATATATGAAAGCAATCTAGGGTGGATGCTTATACATGACACTGATTTTTATCTCTATCCTATCTATCCTCTGTCTGTCTGATTACCAGTAGGTATACAAGATCACATGCAAAAGTGTGTCCTGGTGATGTTGTCACCAAAAAGTCATTTCTAAGTTCCTTTTCCACTGGTGCAATGTTTTTCACGTGAGCAGGAATCCAGTATTGCAGATCTGGAATCTGATCTATGCACTAATGTTGTTAGAAAAGCTGTGTGTGTGTGTGTGTGTGTGTGTGTGTGTGTGTGTACGCGTGCATGCGCGCGTACATACACACACACGCGTAAAATGGGGTTAAAATAATACTAAGGTGCAGCATGTTAGACATCTGTAAGAGTCTGTTTGGATGAAGCCCAGGGTTCAGCATTAAATTAGCAAGTATTACATGGGAATGGAGGGCGAGGGGAGAGGTACCAATTCCATAAGGTTTTGAGTGGCCTATGCAGCCTGAACTAATCCCACTAATTTTCCAGTTTGAACTAGAAGGGATTGGCATAGTCCTCATATGGCTCGTGGGTGCCAAGTGACCCGAATCTGTTTGCTGTGATAACTCAGAAATCTGCCACCTGCAAATGGCCTAACTGCTCATCACTCTGCTGTCTTCCACACCTCAGCAGTTCATCAAAGGCTGCCCAACCACAGACCTTGCAGGTTGCTATGACCTTAGACTCCTTGCCATTCAGTTGGGTTACGTGAGTTGCTGTGGTTTGTGATGGAATTCTGAAGTGCTGGCTACATCTGGGTTGGCAAGCAGCTGTGAAAACAAAGTCAGTCTTGGTCCAAACAAGACTTTGTCCAAAGGATAAGGGAAAGTGGGCGAGGATGGAAGAAGGCAACTGCATAAAATTAAAAACACGAACCTTCAACTCAACATTCCCTCTGTTTGTATCACAGTTCTTTGTAGTGTTGACTCATTAAAACAATAATCATTTCCTTGGCATGAATTTCCAAAACCATTTCATATGACTTTAGTTCATTTTTAATTGCTGCTCTCCCTTTAGCGATCTAGGAAGTGACATGGAAATGTCCACGCAAACGAGAAGCAGGCGTCGCAGTTGTGCACTTAGCCATTTTTTAAGTGCCGACGAATGATAATAACCTATCAAAATGCCCATTGCGAGAATAGCTTATTTGTGTGTGGAGAGAGGTATTGCACTGCTCTGTGGTCTTCCTGTCAGGCCATTCAGTGTCAGGGTTGGAGAACAGACTCCACCTTCCATACCGCAGTGGCACTAAGTGCAGCGGTTTGGTTTTCCCTCAAGGGAAGAAATGGCAACGAATCACAGAAAGTAAGGTGGCACACCAGTAGGCTCACCCACTTCTTGTCCCAAGTGAATGGAGCCATTTGAAACTCAAGCCTGCTTCACTCAGTGGAGCCACTGGCAGAGGAAGAGGAGTGTGGGGGGAGCGCACCGCCCCTGGCAGTGTGATCCCGGTGGGGTGCCATTGCAGCTGCCCCCCTGCCCCCAGGACGCACGCCAGCTCTCCGCCACTGAGTGGAGCCCCAAACTGAGTTCAATATATCTGGGTTTCCAAGGAGTGTGGTTGAATGTTAAAAGCATGGGGCGGAACGTGGGGAACTGACTCTTATATACAGGGGAAAGGACTGTTTTGCCCCCTTTTTACCCCCAAAAGAGAGGGTGGTGTGGATATCAGCAAGCACAAACCTCTCTACTTCTTCAAGGGAGAAGTATATAATGAGCAGGGGCAGCAGAATAGATTAGCATTTAGATTTATTGAAAGTATAACTACAGACCCGCGCAAATGAGAGATAACAGGTCCTGTTGAACCCTCTGTATATTTCTGCATTTAGTGTTTAAATTGCTTGCCTAGTCTAGGGGAAGCCATTTTATATACATCATTTTTTACATTATATACTCCCACAGATACCTGATGTATTTATCATTTTCTCACCACGTCTGTTACCCTCTGTGTTTTTCTCTCTCTTCTCAGGTGTTCTGTGTCTCAGATCTGAACTCTGTCCCATCCGCCTTTGTACTAACAGTCTCTGAGGCTCCTGGTTTACCCATAATGCATCCTTTTTTTCTTTTACTTCTCTATTTCACCAAAACGTCTTCCTAAACCTACAATCTTCCTACAGGCACTTTTTATTTTACCCTTTTGAACGTGGCATTACTACACCAGTGTAATTCTTCCTCTTGAAGGACTTTTGCCCTGTTAGTGAAAGTGCATGGAGGTTTTGTATTTGGACTCTCTCTTGCCTGAAAAGTTCATATTGTTTGCTTTTGTATATGAAGACTCTGCCAAGTCTCTGCTTTTACTGGCGAGCCACTTGCTGTAGCCTTGCAGCTTCCACCCTGCTCCAGAAGAGTGCTGACAATCTTTGGTTCCTACGTTACAACAGATATCCCAACCGCCAAAATGGCCTTGAGACCGCACATGAGGATAATTTTTGGCGTGTTTTTGGAGAAGCTTTGGAGGACTTGGAAACATGCGGCCAGTCTGAGCTTTTGAGGGAGATTGAGGTAAATTAACCTTTGAAAGCAGAAGGGGTGTGTAGCTGTACCACTTCTAGTAAGTTCCCCTCTCTTGGTTCTTCTTGAACTGCGTCTTTCTGGTTGTGACTGATGGGAGCTGGAGCTAATGGCAGGGTGAACAGGGCGCTCTATATTCCCCCTTCCCTGCATAGTCAGAGTGTCGCCCTTTACAAAGTGTGCTTCCTTTCAAGGTAATATCACTAGAAGCTTATAGTACACATCTTGAGCAGGTGGAGCAGTTATAACAAGGGTACAGGCACACAGGAAGGTTAGACCTGTTTTCCCCAAAATCTATATTAGCTTTTGCCAGCCTAATCCAAACTAGCACTGCTCTCCCAAGCAGAAAATTGGGATTTTCATCCCTTTTTTTTGTTTGTCAGAAGCATGGCTCCTGCATTTCAAGTGCTTGAAGCGGTCAAGTTATCATCAATGTGTAGGGCTAGGTACACATAGCAGTTTAAAGTGGATTAAACGTTCATTTCATTGAACACATAATATTGTCCCCATCTAAGTGGCACTTCCCCTGTTTAGTTCAGATTTTCCCAATAATGCAGTAAGGAAACAAAAATCCTACATAAATTGCTTATTGCCCAACTGTGGACATACTGAAGCACATGATGGAGGTGGGTTGGATCTTTCATGTGCCTGGTGACTTTTCTGGGTGTCACCTATCACCGCATCCCCTACTTCTGTTGGTGAGGTGCTCCTCGGTTTGCTGTTGATGGATCTGTCATGACACACACTTCATTTGTTCTTAACTCGCTGTTTTGTGCAAGTCTGGTATATCAGAAAACTTGGATCTCAAAAACAAAATTTATAAAAGGGTGGCAGTTACAAGTAAACAAATACTTGCCTGCATGTCCAATATGGACCTCAGGTTCTTCAAACTCAGAGAGGGTGAGTTGCTGATGGGGCTCAAAATTCAACTTCTCTTTTTTAACCTACTCTTTTGTGCAAATCTGGTGTATATGTAAACTTGTAACAATTTTTGTTAATGGCCACACATGCAGGTAAACAAATAATTTTGTGCACGTCCACAATGGGCCTCATGTTTCCAGAACTCTGGGAGGGCGTGGAAGTATTAATGGAGGTGAGGGAACAACAACACACACTGCAAATTCATCCCACCAAGCACCACCCACTAGCATGGATGGGAAACACTGAGATAGCATTCAGTTGAGAATGCCTATGGATGGATGGACAAGTACAAAAGTGCACATAGAAACAGCAAATCTGTTTCTATGGTGTGCATCTAGCATTGGCCAAAAGGAGAATCATAATAGGGCAGTAAGTCTTGCCATGACATTGTGGTGCTGTGGCCAGTTCCCATAAATTGCAAGTGCACAGCCAAAATTTTGTTGTCCATGCTGGCTGGCATTTCTCACCTATGCCAAATCAAGTAAACTCATGATGAATCCTGAGCAGGGTTTACAATTTGTCAGCATCCCATAGTAAAGAGTCCTGAAACATCCTTGAGCGATGGCACCCTGTTCTCTCTCAGAACTTTGTCTTGCCAGTGTTTGTTTGGGTGGGAGGTTCTGGAGCAGAGGATGCAGGAGTTGGGACAGTCGTCTTGCCCTGAACCTTACTGTTCATGCTGCTTCTTGCACCGAGCTTACTGTGTTCTCTCTGTGTGTGTGGTTGTTGTTTTACTTACCCCTCCATAGGCATCCATCATGACAGGGAGTGTACACAATCTAGACCTTGACGGGGGCAAGTTGCTCATGAACTCTGTCAACCAGGCAGGACTGAGCCCACCAAGGAAAGGGAACACCAAGAGCTCAGGTGAAGGGAAGGGCAATGCCAATGTCACTCCCACCAAGAAAAATGACAGGAATTTGGAGATTAAGATGATGAAGGAAGAGATCCAAGAAATCATGTCTCCCACCCCTCTTGAGCTGCACAAGGTTTGTGCTGAAGAATGGTCTGGTTATGGGTTTTAAGACTGTGGGGCAATGATAGGATAGAGGTGGGTAAAGGACTGAAAAAAGAATAATCTCCAGAGGCGGATTTGCCCCATTACTAAGTTTCTGGATAAACGTCTTTGAGCACAGGATGGAGGCATGGAATGTTCTACTGATGTTAGTAAGCAGCTGGTGTCCTCTGGTGGGGACAGCGCCCTCTTCCTGCCACTCCCTTGCAATGGACCCCACACACCCAGCAAAACTGGAACAGGCCATAGTTCAGGGGTAGAGCACATGCTTTGGATGCAAAAGGTCCCAGGTGCAACCTCCAGCATCTCCAGGCAGGGCTGTCTGAATCCATGGAGAAGCTGCTGTTGCTAGTCAGTGTTGGTGATACTGAGGTAGGTGGACCTAGTGAACTGGCTTAGTAGAAGACCGCCTCCTATAATAGGATGGCTTTGCAGTAAAGCGGATGACCCACACAGGTAAACAAGAGTCTCTGGGCAGGAGTAGCACAATGGCTTCTGCTCTCATTTTAGTGGCGGGGGAGAGGTGTAAGCACAGGACTCGTGGGGCGGGTACACCCTTCCTGTTCTCATTTCCTATCATTTCTGAAAGGCCTATGGAAAATGTGAGGTTCAACATGCAAATGCAGCATTGCTGTCAGGGATATCTAATCTTGCCTAATAGCAATGGCATGCAATCCATGGACACACGTAAGCAGAGGAATGCTTACCATTGCACCAGCTTCTCCAAAAAGGCTTTTGGTGGTTCGGAAGTCTTTCAGGCATTTTGCTAGAAACCAAACATTCCTGTTTAAACAGCAGAGCTTTATTCTCAAGGCTGACGAGGTAGTCGATTTAAAGTTGGAACAGCGCCTGCCCCC